TCACACTTATTTCCAAAGATCTTGGCTTTAACATTTTCCTGCATGTGTCCCAAATGTCTTTTGCTTACCGCGTGCATCATGCATTCAATCCTAGAGAAGAGCACAGGCTTTTAAAAGACAAACAGCTTCCCTTGGGATAATAGCTATAAATCATAGATCATGGCCTAAACATTCAAGGCACTTCAGGGTGACTGTGATAAACTGTGATACAGAAGTCAGTTTGCCTCCAGAGTCTGAAAGATGCCATGAAATTATAGCAGTTGATAATTCTCCATTTTTGTCATAGCATAAATGTATCCCTTCTAATAATTTTGAAATCGTTTGGTTGTAACTGGCAGGTTGTTTGTGTGATTGTTTTACTATGTAAAGTTTGTGGTACGCAATGTTTTAGCAATAAAATGTTGAAATTAAATAATTCAGCATTTACTTTAGTCGTAGTTACGCTGTTTAATCATGAAGACAATTGGAATGTAATTGTGAACTGATATAAACAACTATTCAGAATCCACCACCATGAGGCTTTGGAAACACAACAATAAATGAACTATGAATAATGATTTGAAAGTCAGGCAACAAATTTGAATGAAAAATGTTACCTGATCTCTTTCCAATTTCATGTGATAGTGAAAAATTATTTAATGAAAGAAAAGCTGATATACATGAAGCCTTCCTCCTTGCAATATTCAAATATATTGAGGGTCATTAAAATTCAGGTGACCCTACTTAACCCTTCAAATCAATGGCATTGATGTCTTATGAATGTAAAGAGCATATTTCATGTGCTTACAATGAAGAATTGTGAAAGGTGTAGCACACTAGTAATGCCGTGAATACTGAGTGCTGCTGTTAACACTTCTTTTCTGTAATTACAACAATCCGTATATATCACATAACGCAAGCACATGCTATAAGAGATACCGGAATAAATGAGTGCTTTCTTTAAGCAGAATATGCGTCTTTGCATGGGCACAAACTGTCCATCTTTTGTTTAAACAGGAAGAAAAGCAACATAACTAAAGGATGAGAAGTTTAATCAATGAGGTTGAGCTAAAATTCAGTCCCTAAAAGCGCCTGGCAGTTCACCTGTGGCTCTAAACCAAGTCAAAACAATCGAAATGTGTGCAAGCTACGTTGTTTTTCAAGGCTCGGTCTTCTATATTAAGCACATGGAGAGAACAGAACCAAGAGGTAGATATTCTTGTTCGTGAAAAGCGTGTTTAAAGTGCCCAAAGTAGCCCTTCAACCTTTGCAAAAAAAGACTGAAGCACCCTTAAAAACAAGAAAAGACACTCGCTTCATCCACAAATAATTCAATTACTTCCCTCCTGCCCAATGCGGCGCCAGAGGCCAGAGTTTTCCATCACTTGAACAAATAAACTTCACGTTACATTCAATATGCACTTTACAACAATATTGAACTGTCAACCCACAGTAGACACAACACAGATTTCTTTCAATCTTAACTGAGTAGCTTTTTCATCAAGAAGGATTTTATATATGACATATTATGTGACCGAAGAGACTAAGGAATATCAGAAAAAGGGCAAATGTAAACCAGTGTTCCACCCAATTTCAGGAAACCATTCCTCAGTCACTAATTATTCCAATATGACAATTAAGATATTTGCATAGGCAATATGGGATTAGCCCTTAAATAGTACGTTTCCTGAATTCTTTGTAAGTATATATCATAATTATGCTGAAAGGAATTAACAAACAAACAAAATGCTACTCTTCTTAGTAAACCCTCAGTATACATCTCAATTACAGTATTAGGCTTCAAGTAGATCAAAATAAACATTAACTTTATGAGAAAAAAAAACAACTAAGCATAACGAGAGGTAGTGGAAAACCAATTAAAACGAGACCTCGTCCATGAGGACGGCACTCCTATAATCACAAAGCACAGGCTCCACTTCATTTGCTTAGAAAAGAAGCCTTTTGGCAAGAAAGAATATTTTTCCAAGTCATACCATGCTTATAAAATCATTATCAACAGCTGTTAGCCATCACTGTGACAGCCGTCAAGTGAAAAACTCCTGAACTCTCGAAATCGGATCAAACATTAGCAGCAAAAATGAAGTTGAGGCATTGAAATTAAACAGATAACTACTCTGAAAATTATGGTTCACTGTAAATGGGACCAAATGGGACATTGCATGCTCTTGTATAATCTGCAATCTAATAAATAATGGGTGAAAATGTCAAATGTGTTGTCATTTACAGAATGATACTTTGAATAATACCTTTGTCTGTGAAACTGATAGTTTTTTATGATATGCTTATAGTTTTTATTAAATGATTCCGTCTGCAGTACAATACAGTATCATAATACTGCACTAATTTCCATTTTTTATTTGCCTCCAATTTTTTTGTCAATAATAAGAACTTATACCTTTGAGTGATACACTTCAGAGGTATGATTAAAATTTCTCATCACTTAAATGAACACATCATGATTATCTTCCATTGTGATTTTTTTTTTAATATAGATCATGGCCTAAACATTCAAGGCACTTCAGGGTGACTGTGATAAACTGTGATACAGAAGTCAGTTTGGCTCCAGAGTCTGTGAAAGATGCCATGAAATTATAGCAGTTGATAATTCTTCATTTTCATCATAGCATAAATGTACACAGGGCTTCTCTATCCCTTCTAACAATTTTGAAATTGTTTGGTATATTTATATAAAAATATCTGACAATTGCAACTGGCAGGTTGTTTGTGTTATTGGAGCAGCTAAACTATGTTTTGTTATAATATGTAAAGTTACTACATTTGTGATACACAATATTTTAGCAAAAAGATGTTGAAATTAAATAATTTAGTATTTACTCTGTGGAGTTAGTCATAGTCAGGCTGTTTTATCTGGAAAACAATTGGAATGTAATTGTGAACTGATATAAAGACACAACAACTTTTGAGAATCCAACGATGAGGCTTTAGTAACACAACAATAAATTAACTATGAATTATGATTTTAAAGTCAGGCAACAGAATTTTAATGAAAAATGTTACCTGATCTCTTTCCAGTTCCATGTGATAGTGAAAAATGATTTAATGAAATAAAAGCTGATGCATGAAGCCTTCTTCCTTGCAATATTCATATATATTGATGGTCATTAGGGTGCTTTCACACTTGGTTCGATTGCTTGGTCCGAACCCGAGTTCGATTGCTCCCCCCTCCCCCTCCCCCCGTTGGACTGTGTTCAACTTTGAAGGTGAACAGAAATGAGATATACAGCTCTCTGCTTGCAGCGCGTCAGTCACGCTCGTCAGGAAAGTGAGTGAAACACACACAAACACACATTTTTATCAAATAATACGTCATTAATAGCGGTTCACTTCCGTGATTTGGTACGATTGCGTTCACATCAGCAGCGAACCGTACCGGAGTTCACTTGAACCGTACCCCAGACCACCCTTTTTAAGCGGACTCTGGTACGGTTCGCGGGTGCGCACCCGAGTTCGGAAGACAACGTTCACATCATCCAAACGAACCGAACTCTGACGTCAATCGAACCCGGGTGCGCACCAAAAGTGCTAGTGTGAAAGCACCCTAAAATTCAGGTTACCCTATATGACCCTTCAAATCAATGACACTGATGAATGTAAAAAGCATATTTCATGTGCTTACAGTGAATAATTGTGAAGCACACTACTAATGCTGTGACGCAACCGATCAAGTACTACTGAGTGCTGTTAACACTTTTTTTTCTGTAACTACAGCAATTCGTATATCACATAACGCAAGCATATGCTGTAACGGTTACTGGTATAAATGAGTGTTTTCTTTAAACAGCAAATGTGTCTTTGCTTGGGCATAAATTGTCAATCTTTTGTTTAAACAGGAAGAAAAGCAACATAACTAAAGTATGAGAAGTTTAATCAATGAGGTTGAGCTAAAATTCACTCCATTAAAAGCACCTGCCAGTTCACCAGTGGCTCTAAACCAAGTCAACACAATCTAAATGCGTGCAAGCTACGTTGTTTTTCGAGGCTCGCTCTTCTATATTAAGCATATGGAGAGAACAGAACCAAGAGGTAGATATTCTTGTTCGTGACAGAAATCACTTTTCAAAAACTACAACAAATGACTCGTTTGCACTACAACGTATATTTTCCGGGATTTGTGATATCACAAATATCGACGAATGGGACGAGACCTGGTTGAGCTGCACTAGAGAAGGCAACGAGTGTTATCACTATGTCGCAGACACACTAGCTTTCCCAAGGCAGGCGAACTTAGAGTGGTTACAATCATCCGAGTTTAAATTGCGCTCAAATTGATTTGATTTTGACGCAATATTTACACCTTCATTTGATACGGGAACTATTCGAGCCGTTCATGCCAGACTGAGAAGAGAGGTGTTGTAATAATGTAAAATATATGAAAAATAACATACTAGGTTGTTTTTCGAACAACCTAGTATGAGAGCCTGTTCTAGAACACCCCCAAAACAAAATCAAGACTTTGTAAAAGAGCATAATAGGACCCCTTTAAATCTGTCCATATCTGCTTTAAAGTGACCTTAAATAATCATATATTCACTTTGTTCCCTGTCCAGTAGTTTCAAAGCATATGGAGAGAACAGAACCAAGAGGTAGATATTCTTGTTCGTGAAAAGCGTGTTTAAAGTGCCCAAAGTAGCCCTTCAACATTTGCAAAAAAGACTGAAGCACCCTTAAAAACAAGAATAGACACTTGCTTCATCCACAAATAATTCAATTACTTCCCTCCTGCCCAGTGCGGCTCCAGAGCCCAGAGTTTTCCCATCACTTGAACAAATAAACTTTAGCATGCACAGTACCTTACATTCAATATGCAGTTTACATCAATAGTGAACTGTCAACCCACAGTAGACACAACACAGATTTATTTCAGTCTTAATCGAGTAGCTTTTTTCTTTCGAACAACCTAGTATGAGAGCCTGTTCTAGAACACCCCCAAAACAAAATCAAGACTTTGTAAAAGAGCATAATAGGACCCCTTTAAATCTGTCCATATCTGCTTTAAAGTGACCTTAAATAATCATATATTCACTTTGTTCCCTGTCCAGTAGTTTCAATAACCTCTATGATGTTGGACTTCCTGGATCACTGACATGTACAGATTGAAATAGCCATACAGTCACATTATTTTTCATTGACATTTATCGTAACACTTACAGTAAGTGTGTGTCAGTTTCGTCAACCTCTGATTTCCCCCCTTAAATATAGTTTGGTAAATGTCCATGTGTCATGCAGGATCTTTCTTTTTTTTTTTTTAGAGCAAGACAATTTTGATTTATTGCTCATTTCTTTAATGACATGATTTTTTTTCTTTTAAAACAAACAAGAAAATTCAATAATTTTGTTTTAGAAACGTGGGAAAGCCAAGCTTCCCATGATGGTTCGCTGCTTCAGTAAGTAAACTACTATTCGGTTTGTAAAACAACATAAATGAAGGAGCTACTCACATTGGCTGATGCTCAAACACACAAATACTTCAAAGAAGGATAGCTATGCACTCTGAAAAGTGACAAAGGTTTTCATTTTAATGTGGTAAACCTGCAGAGTGAATGGCACTTAACTCTCAGAGCACCAGTAAGAAAGCCCAACAACAACAAACTTGATCATGACTTACTTAACAAACGTTCATTCATTGGCACAAGAGTTCAGGGAAAATTACACTTTGAGGTTGGGTATGGTGACCAGAAAACGTTGGTTTAAATGCAATTCACTCTTGAATAAAAGGTGAGAGAGTGGTTTAACACACCAGTATTTTAAATATCGTGTTTTCATGCACTGGCTGCTGCGATTGCAATAGCACATAAATGTCTAGAAAATTGAACAGCAACATTCAAGTTTGAATCCAACAACATGGAGCTGAAAAGCTGTCATTCTTGAGGGACACACGTCTAAACCTCTAAAGGAAATCATCTGTTATAAGTATCATCTTCAACATGATGCTTCCCGCAGAGGTTCACATCATATCTGGGTTGAGTATTGCAATGTGTACATGACACAACAGAAGAAACGCATGCTGGAGAAAAGTATTACAAAAAAGACTGACTTGTTTTCGATAACCTGCCGTTTTCCGAGCTGTGAAAATGACCGAGAATGACCGCTCCTCGTCGCAAAACAGACAGAAACCAAAGTTTCCCTGATGGATCCGACTTCGTCGCGCCACCTCATCGAGCAGGTCTCGGCGATCACAGTTATTTTAAACAGATCTAGTGTAACTCTCAAAAACAAGGCATAGTGTTCACTACACTTTTGTTTAATAAAATACATTTCTGTAATGTGTAAGACAATTCGAAGCTCTTTTAAGAACCTCCAGAACGTTGGTGAATGATTTTCAAGCAATTCTCGGTCAATCCAGCGAAGCTTATAGCCCACGACATACAGTACCTGTGCTTCTCTCTGTTAGTTACGGACTGGGAGGGGCTAGGAGGACTCACACAATAAACTGTGTCGTCACCAGCATCAGCAGCTTTTGTGCCCTTACTCATTGTCGAGGCATTGTGATTTTTGCAGAGAGAAAGAAATGTTCATGATTCATTTAGCTGCCCAATCACACTAGCTAGCCCTTATGTTTCCCAGTTAAAGAACTGTCGACACGCAAAGAAAGAGTTTGGACGGCGGTTACGCTTCCCAGCTTCTCTTTTACAAAACAATTGGCACAGCTAATTTTCCCTTCGCTTACAAGAGCTTTACAATGTTCTCTCCCCATGACAGCATAAAAAAACTTTTTTTTTAATAAAAAAAAACATTGTAGTCCAGGGCTTAAATGTCAAACTAGAGTAAATTCCATAACCTTGTTTCATGCAAAGGTTTTCTAGCTTAACATCTACCGGCGCTTATCCGTTTGTTTTTTGATTTTCTTTAAAAAAAATAATAATAACATTATTCAGCTGTCCTCAGATATGGGAGGCATAAAAGATGGAAAGGATCAGGTAGAAAGAAAATAGAGAGATAAAGAGAACAGGTGAGGTAAACAGGAATAGAAAGGAGATTTGAGGAGTCAAAAGAGACAAAACAGGTGAATGAAAAAAAGACAAGTTGAGAGTAGGAAGTATGGATCTGTCAGTTTTCCTACACGTTTTTTCTGTGTCACAGTTGCCTGAGCAGCTCATATTGGCACTTAAACAGAACTGAACTTCAGGGTCACTAGTGGATGCTCAGAATTGCTTAACTACTCACTCTTGAAATAAGAAACATCACACCTTTTGAAAGTGGCACCTTGGGGCTTTTTTGTCACAAATGTTCTTGCTGAAACCTAGGTGTCTAAGCAGGCCCTCTTGCTGTTAAGGAGATCCCTGTAAACAGATGAGTTGAGAAATCTGGGGAAGGAGTCTCTGTGCATGAGGGTGTAGATCTGAAGCTGGGCCTCCTCATACATCGTACTGCTGGGTTCTGTCAGGCTTTGGTTGATGACTTCCCTCACCCGTGAATCCAAGCTGACCTGCCGAACGACAACAAATGTAAAGATCAACAACTTTACACAAAGATCTAAAAACACTGCTTATATTTAAACTTTGTGTGACATTTTTTACTAGATTGAAAATGTTGCATATATAATATTTTTAATCCAGAGACAATTTTTTTAAAACATCAAGAAAAAAAACAACTTTCAGAGAATTTAGACCATTTAGAGATTTTTTTTTTTTAAATTGCCATTTTAATAAGAACTAATATCTTCTAGCTTTGTGTGAAATATTGTAAGCAAAATTGTATTTTTTAATTCAGAAAAAGATGTACACATAAAACACCCTTATATACCCATGAACAACGATCACAAATCACATCTTTAGCAAACATCAAATCACATTTTTATTGTGAGATGGCATAAAAAACCTCACCAAAAATACTGAGTTTTCATATGCAAAAAAAGCTTATCTTAAAGGCACAATATGTAATTTTTCGCCGCTAGAGGGCACGGATTCAAAACAAACAAAGAAACAAAGGTGTAGTTAGATGACTGAGTGTGGAATCATGAGAGTTGTTGTCTTCATCCCCACAGCCGAAGCAATCCGATGGGACGCAGAAATCAATCATGTTCATGGATGAGCTAATGATTTATTAACGTAGTAGAATGAAGGAGGGTGAGGCTGAAAGCCGTCGAAGCTAAACGAGGCCGCTGAACGAGCGCGACACACGACTCGAAAGCAGCGGAGCTTTTATTATGCCACAGTCGACCGCTTCCGCTCC